CTTCTTCTTCTTCTTCTTCTTCTTCTTCTTCTTCTTCTTCTTCTTCTTCTTCTTCTTCTCCTCCTCCTCCTCCTCCTCCTCCTCCCCCTTCCCCTTCCCCTTCCCTTCTTGTTGTTGTGGTTGTTGTGCAGGTCGACAGCGTGGAGCACGGCTATGGCGCCCAGGTACCAGTGTGGAGCACGATTATGGCGCCGAGGTACCAGTGTGGAGCATGGCTATGGCGCCCAGGTACCAGTGTGGAGCACCGCTATGGCACCCAGGTAAGTACCGCTGATGCAGGTATGGCCTCCGCCCCTCTTCTTCTTCTTCTTCTTCCTTTTCTTCTTCTTCTTCTTCTGCTTCTTCTTCTTCTCCTCCTCCTTCTCCTCCTACTTCTCCTCCTTCTTCTTCTGGTTGTGGTTGTTGTTGTGGTGGTTGTTGTTGTTGTTGTGCAGGTCGACATCGTGGGGCACAGCTATGGCGCCCAGGTACCAGTGTGAAGCACGGCTATGGCCCCCAGGTAAGTACCGCTGACGCAGGTATGGCCTCCGCCCCTCCTCTTCTTCTTCTTCTTCTTCCTCTTCTCCTTCTCCTTCTCCTCCTCCTCCACCTCCTTCTACTTCTTCCCCTTCCCCTTCCCCTTCCCATTCCTTCTCCCCTTCTTCTGGTTGTGGTTGTGGTTGTTGTTGTTGTTGTTGCTGTTGTTCTCGTTGTTGTTGTTGTGCAGGTCGACCGCGTGGAGCACAGCTACGGCGCCCAGTTACCAGAGCGGAACACGACTATGGCGCCCAGGTAAGTACCGCTGACGCAGGTATGGCCTCCGCCCCTCTTCTTCTTCTTCTTCTTCTTCTTCTTCTTCTTCCACTCCTTCTTCTTCTTCTTCTTGTGGTTGTTGTTGTTGTTGTTGTTGTTGTTGTTGTTTTGCAGGTCGCCAGTGTGGAGCACGACTATGGCGCCTAGTTAAGTACCACTGATGCACGTATGTGTTGTTGTTGTTGTTGTTGTGCAGGTCGCCAGTGTGGAGCACGGCTATGGCGCCCAGTTAAGTACCGCTGACGCAGGTATGGCCTCTGCCCGTCTTCTTCTTATTCTTCTTTTTTTTCTTCTTCGTTGTTGTTGTTG